TTTTTTTTTTTTAAAGGTAGTTTATAAAAGAGACTGGAAATACCCTTCCGAATATGATCAGGGATGGACTGTAAAGTGCTGAGTGGACAGTAGTAAAAACCTAACGACATGGGACCTGTAAAGAGGTGGAGGGGAGCTCCCCCAGGCCGAGTAGATCTGCGTGGTTCACTGTGCCATTATAATGCAGCTGTCCTATAGACAAATCTTCTTTTGCACCTGCATATCAGTCATCAGGACCTCATGCACAGTGCCCAGTGACTGGCATCAGAAAATATATCCCTTAGATCAAAAATATATTTATTCTTGTCAGCGGCAGTTCTTTAATCTGCATCTCAGAGAGAAACACATGAATAAAATGTGAGCTTACACTGTATTATTTGGTTATTAGGCCTACAACACTCCTTCACCCTAGCTCAGCATTTTGTTGTAAATCTGTCCCACAGCCTACAAAATTAAATACGTTTTAAGTAATATATTGCCCTACTTGATAGCAATACTTTCTAACTTTGGTCCTCGTCCCTGTCTAGGATTTCGATGACCAAAGTAAAATTCCATCCATCACTTGTCCTGGTTGACCCATAGTAAACAATATTATAAACCTTTGGCCTGGAATACAACAGCAGACATTACTGACACAAAGTAAGTTACACAGAAGCTTGACTGAACTATAATCAATTCACATAGATTAATATCTTGATTTGAAATGGTGGGCTAAATATGAAGCTGAAATGAAGACCAGTTCTGATTGTTTCTAAACAAGAAAGTTTATTTGGGCTCATGGATGCTCAGGAGAAGTCAGCACCTGGGAGAATTTCATGGTTTGAGATCGGAGTTCAGCTGTATCAGGATTGCTTTTATACATAATTCAGGATGCCAGTAGGGCAGTGTGAAGACGGAAAGGCCGGGATGGTCCATTTGGTAAAGTGAATCCACTGGGCATCTTTCTTTGCCTTTAGAGAATAATTCTGATGGCAAAAGAACCAAACGGGACAGGCGAGGGAAAATCAAAGCAAAAAAAAAAAAAAACTTATTTAGGAACTAAAACTGTTTGATAAATGCAGTTTATCAGTATATGCTACAGAATATGTGACCACCAATTAATAAGGTCATGTCCAATCAGTCTTAGTCTCTCCTCTTTGCGTCTTCTCCAGTGTCACCTGTGTGTAGTCAGTTTTGTCTGTTTACTAGTGTCAAGTTTGTGTCTCTGTCTTGCTCTCACGCCCTTTCCCTCTCTCTCTCTCTCTGCTCTTTGCTGTCCACTTTATTTTCTCATCGTAGTGGTCACAATCTTAATGACTCCAATACATGGACGTTTTAGAGATTACATCACAGACGCTGGGTTGTTTTTCCATATTTGTTGATCGCTCTGGTTAATTTCAGAATGTTTTTTTATTTACTTTTGTATATACTGATCAAAAAGACCAAATTAAGAAAAAGTGAACAACTTCAGTCTGACATTTAAAATTATACATCGACTCATCTTGCAATCAGGCCATCAGTTCTTTTGCACAAGCAGCTCTGACATATATTTTCCTTGGTTTGAATACGTGCTCACAGTCACTGAAGCTACAGTGGCTAGAGAATCAGTTTCACTATGAATCTTTACATGAGTCTGCAACATGGTCTGCAATGCACTTTATAAACAATACAAAACAGCCCACAGAGACGTTGCTGTGGTTCTACTGTAGAAATATGTACACATGGAACCCACAGTAATACACTACATTACTACATTACCAAAGGTTTATGGGTAGATGATCCTTTTATCAAAATACAAAAGTTTAAAACAGGAGGTGCTGAGTGATTATTCAAGGACTGGCCCTAGGAACGCTTAACAGGTGGACAGAAACATGAATGCATGACCGCTGGGATCCTGCTGAGTAACATGTTGGCAAAAGACCTCCGAATTATATAATCGGCCAACCTAAAAGCAAAGTTTTTTAACATGGTAAATAAGATAAGATAACCTTTATTAGTCCCACACGTGGGAAATTTGTTAAATGGTTTTACATGTACCAAGATATTTATCATGGTGTGCCAGTTCTACTCATAACTCTCATCTTTAGCCAGTATGACAACTTGGTGCGTGGGAAGGCCCATTAGTGTGTGTCTTCTGTAAATTTCTCATTAGATGTCTGATCAGGATGAGGAAATCCAGGCATACATAAATATTGTGACAATACATAAATGTTGGCACCGCAAAGGAAGTTTACACTGAACTGGAATTGACAATAATTAATAATAAATGACACATTATTCTGATTACATTTGTGTTTTTACAATTTGCTGTTTTCTGTAAATGTAAAGTAGATATGAGGTAACTTCAGTTACACTTCCTGTAAACCACACTCTGTGACATAGGGTTACTGAGAGAAGCTTGTGGACAGAGCCGCAAACATCTACGTGCTGTTTCTCATGGGTTCATAAGCTCTCAGGTGTGAAATACAGTTTAAAGTGTTTTTCTTTTTGTGTGTGTGGGGGGGGGCAAAGGGGAGGTCTGTATCAAGAAAATCCTATGGCCTTGTTTAAAAAATTAAAATTTTTATATTTACTGTATACTTAAAGTAAAATCATTTCTAGCTGACGTTCCTAAAATGTAAATGGACCTAAGAGCAGACCACAGCAACCTCCTAGATGAAGAACTACTCAGCAACACAAAGGCAGACAAGCAATGGGTCTCTGTTATGAAGAGCTGGACCAGGACCTGGCATAACTCACACCTACTGGCTGAAGATGCTAGCAGCCCTCCATGAATACCTGACAGCACATATCAGGGTTTTGCTAACAACAGGTACTAATTTAGGAGTGGAGCGGCCATCAGCCACTTCCCTGGGTCTGTGTGGGAGCAGCCGTGGGGAGACCAATCCCCTGTTACCGAGATCACAATTGGGACATGGAAAAAGTCTTTCGGACTGCCTTGAAGGAATTCTGGGCACCTCCTGTGTGGTGTTTCGGGGGAGACCCAGGACAAGCTGGAGAGATTATATCTCTTGGCTGCCGTGTGAATTTCTTGCTTTTCCCCTGGACAAGCAAGAGGAGGTTGTAGGGATGTCTGGGCTCCTATGCTGCTGCCCCCACAACCCTGCCCTGTATAAGTGGAAGAAAATGTATTGATGGATGGCTAGAAAATTAGATAATATAATATTGGGTAGGCTTTAAAGACTTGTCTCATGTTTAAGTCTGGCTTTTATATAAATAACACATTATCCCACTGCTTCCAGTGGCCCAACAAGCCCAGTGAGGCCGAACATATATCACACAGTCGATGACAATGATCTCCCTGATGTACTTTAAATCAGACGTGCATGATAAGAGATAGCAATTTAACATGAATGCTGCCATATCTTCATTTGCAAAACAGCAACTACCATCTCAAAGACCTTTGCACTTATTATGATGCATCCTATGAGTGCTGCTTCCCCTTTCATTATGTTTGTTGTGAACTCTGGCCCTGGCAAACGGCAAAGGACAAGCCCAGTGTGCTGCTATCATATGTCAGCATGTTGAGGACTCTGAAGAGTGGGAGTGGGGGTGAGCTGAAAATACTTTGGCACTCTGTTCGGGTTCTTTAAAAAGAGCAGTAATCCTGTTGCCACTGACCATATAATTCTGTCTGTTGATTGTGCTGATGGTCTGTTGGTTGTTTTGTTGGAGTGTTGCACAGAATGGAGCTTCCCCAGCTTGAACATACGAGGCTCCGAAGACATGATAGCGCAGGTGAGATCACAGATTAACTACCTTTAAAGAGAGCATGTGTCTTAGCAATATCCAGACAAAATACTGCAAGAAAATCTCTATTAATATGTGATTCAACAACATGGACATACTGAATGCAACATAAATATGAGTAAATAATTGAATGTGTTCCTACCAATCAATGAATCAACTTCCACTTTAAAGGAAGATAAGAATACAAATCGCCCACAAACAATGAGAAATTGCGTGTGCAGCTTGCTTTATTTTTGATCTATACCATCACTGGTTGCCTTGTTTATAGGTAATACATTGATCATGAATGAACAACAAAGAAGTGAAGTAAGGTTATGAGATAATAAAAGGCTCATGCACTTGAACAGGTAAACAAGAAACTAAAACAGAAACTAAAACAAGCAAACAAATAAGTGATCAGTGCGCCTTATCACAGAGATCATGGAGAGATTATTATTATATTCAATTTTTTTACTATTTGGTGTAATTTTCTCACGTGTTAAATGACTTCTTTTAAGTTGGACGAAATATAAAGAAACATTATAAAGCACTCCAATCCTGCATGGCCGTTGTTTTTGGAAGTACCTCTCCTACCAAGAAAAACAGCCAATAGAATAGTATGTTCCTTCTGTTGAGCTTATCCCAAGGCTAGCTGCCCTTTAAACATGGTCCAGAACTGGGTCACGATGTTCTCTGAAGTTTGAGTAGTTGACATTAAGGTTTGAGTACTTGGACTTGTGCAAGTGTCGCAAGCAAATGTCATGAGTGGCTAATGATGGCAGGGAGGGTTTTCACAGTACACTGTGTCAAGTAGACTTTTTTTCAGAGGCTCAAAATTGATTAGCAGTTGATTGACAAGTGGTTTCATAGGCAGGTGAGACCAGTTCCTTTGACTTTACATGACAGATGAATTTGACAAAATATCTGAACTTGATTTAAAGCTTCAGATTTGTATTTTGTAGCTTTTTCTTGTAATTTCAAATATGACACCTAACAAGGCTGATAAACAAAAGTAAATCTAAAGTGATAGGAAAATCTTTAGGAGTTTTAAAATCTGGATGGCTGATATATTCTTATAAAGGGTGCACTGACCAGCTCAGCAACACCAACAGGCTTGAAATACCACAAAAGACAACTTGGGGTCACTGATGTTTATTGTCGATGGGAGTGCTGATAGTAGAGGTAGAAGGAATTCTAAGGTGGACAGCCCTATACTCTCTGTTCAGATTCAGCCAAATGTGGCAAAACTAATTGCACAGTCCATCACAGTGCAATAATGGATAATGATCCAAAGCACACTGCAAACCAAACCTAACCGAGTATCTCAAGCGTGTATTAAATTACTCCACTTTGGTGTATCAAGGGAAAACTAAAAAAATTGTGTCTTTATCAAACAAAGACTTAACTGTGGTGCAGATAGTCAAAGTTTTGCTCAAGTGCTCTGCTCAAAACTTGCAGGTTGTCTTTTTCTCGACACTTGAAATGAGATTTGGAGAAACGGCACACATCAGGAGCTACTGTTAGCTGAGAAGAGAAACTGAAAGCCACAGGGAATAATTCAAAGCAATTGTTTCCAACTCTGCAGTGCAACTTGTATTTTTTATTAGCACCACCTGACAGATCATTAAAACAAGTGATAACAATGGATATAAAAAGTTAATTTACCCTGGAGTGGCAGAGAAGCACCATGAATGTACTACACAGTCTTAGCTGAGCGCTGGATGTACAGTACTGTGCAAAAATGGGCCACCCCACATTTCTTTATATATTTGCTCGGAAAATAGGAAATCGGTGCGTTAGTTTATTTTTATTTATTAAATTATGTGCAAACAAACATGAAAGTACAGCATAAAAAGCAAAAACAGACTTTGCATAATTCGAATGATCTTGAAAATATCTGATGTGATCACATTTATTCTTACAAACACAGCCTGAGCTCTCTTAGGCAGCTTTCTTGTTATTCTTTAAGGAGATTTTAGGAATAGTTCTCCAGACTTCTTGAAGACATTCAAAGATCTTTGGTTTTGTTGTCTTTTAAGATGATCTCATAATGCAATCTCAATATTAATAAGGCCCAGGCCCCAAGGAGGCCAGTCCAAGACTGACAGTGTTCGATTGTGTGTTTTTCTATACAGATAACCTTTTAATACATTGGCAGTGTGTTTGGGATTATTGCTATTTCTAAAAAGAAAACAAACCCCTTGCCAATCAGATGCTTTCTAGATGGTTTTACATGTAATGTAATGTAACTTTTCTGGGTTCATAATTCAAAGAGTCTAGCTGAAATGCAGACCCGATCATCACAGAGCCTTCACTGTGTTTTACAGAAGGTTGTAAGCACTCACTGCTGTACTGCTCTCCTGACCTCCTCCATACATACTAACAATAATGTCCCTGTTTACCTTGTTTAGAAATTGCTTCTTGACAGCCGCTCTTCCATTGCGAACGTTTCTGATGAGGCTTTAGGGAACAGTATATCTGATTGATCATATGCACCTCTCAGGTCCTATCTCAGGCCTTTCAGGTCTTTCTTTCCTATTTCTTAAAGACCTGGCTTTGAGATGCTGCTTATGTCTTGTAGATACTTTTTTAGGCCTGCCACTTCTTTTTGTCCTCCACTTTTCAGGTTTCCTCAAATTCTTTGAGAACGTACTGCACACCATGCTGATATAATCCAGGTTTTCAGCTAATAACTCTGTGAGAATCACATTGTTATTTAATGCCTATCAAACTATGTTATATTTGCCATTTTTCAGAGATTCAACTCAACAAATTGGGCTAAATTATGTTTTGTGGCATGCTGCTAGAAAAAATACCTTATGATACATATTTAAAATTGCTTTGTTTTCTGTTATTGGTGGACACAACACTGATTTATCCTTTGAGTTAGCTGCTGTTTAAATGCTTGAATGATTCATAGCTCAAGAAAGTGATTGTTCCAACCACATACAGGAACACTCATTCTGTTCTTACACAACCTTTAATTGGGCTTTGACAGGAAGTGGCTGACTTCTTTTAAAACATTATTTTTGCTTGCTTTTGTTGTTTGTAGTCCTTCCAAGCTCTTCTTTGTATCTTCTCTTCCCCCTCAACTTTGAAAGCGTAAAGGTAGGATGCCCCTCCCACTTCTGTCTGAAGCCCTTTACTATTGAAGAGTCCCGCCTTTCCACCATCACCAAATACTTGCTCATAGGGGTAATCCGATCTGTCTAATGTTGTCTACTATCGTGATTTCTTCAGCCATAATATAAATAACTGTTAGATGACTGTTGATATGAACTATGTGGCCTAAATTAGGCAGAGCAGTGGTGGTTAGTGCTGTCTAATCGTTGTTGTTGGCTTATATGGAATTATTTAATTATTTGAAATTTTGACCGTTTTGATTATGAGCGACTAAACAGATGGTCTAAACTGCCATCTAGTGGTAAGGAAGGAGAATACTGGCACTGCACTTTCTGTACAGCTTGTGCAGCAGCACAAGCAGTGCTCAGCTCATCCGAATTCATGAGGGGTCCTTCTGTTGGCAGCTTCTCTCAAGCCTTTTAAATCATGAAACAGATGGAGAGGCAGAGAAGCAGCATGGCCTCAGTTCCTCCCCCTCCTGCCTACCAAGTAGCTTATTTCTCCTTAGCAACTGTCACCTGACCTGCAGTAGTTAGTGTTCAGTGAGGCACACATATGCACACAGATCACAGGACTGTGCGTCTCAGTCGTTAACTCCTCGACCTGCTTCACAGGCCTCATGGCTTTGGCAATTAATATATCCACAGAGCATAAAAATCTTACACAGACACCTCTGCTCAAGATCTGGGTGCCATGGACTGGAGGCAACTTGAACCGCAGGAGAGGGTGTAAGTTTAGTAAAAGCCTGTCTCACTTTAAGTATGAGATTACAGTACATTATCTTCCCTGATGTTTGTTCTGCCTCTGCTTCAACTTATTTCTTGCTCCAGCAAAAGCTTTCATCAGCATCAAGACGTCCAGCAGTCACAAGTCTGTTTTACACTCTAACCTTTCTCTCCTGTTAATTTTGAACTGAGCTCAGGCCTTTCAGGGGAGACGCGTAGAAAGACAGCAGTGTGAGAGCGACATAGACATAGACACAGCGATGGGATTACAGCCAGCCTAGACCAAACCAGGTCTGAGTTGGCTCTCAGTTGAGTGTCTGGCATGGTCCTTTGAGCATTTTGCTGACGCTGCATACTCCATTCATAATCGAACAGTCTGGAGGCTAACTCTTTCCATGTCCTCATATGGACATATACACAGGCCATCCGGGTACCTGTTGGGGTACAGCTAGCCGGCAAGCAACAAAGCAGTCTACGTTATAAATTACTGAACTTTGAGACACAGTAGTATTGAGACTACTGGACCATTCCTTGGTAAGGTAAGATGCGTTTATAAAGGCACCTAATGAAGTTTTCCTTTGCTTGCTGCTCCTTCATAAATAATAGGTGACAAAGTCTAAACCAATTTAGGTTTTTCCAGGGAGATTAATATTGTTACATTTGGAAATTCTTGCAGTAGCTGAGCTGAGCTTTAACAACATGCAGGGACATTTTAACACACTTGGAGATTAAAGGCATTTTGTCCTGTCAGCCGTATGATGCAGCGTGCTTCTCTGGTTGCTTCTAAGATGTGACTACCTAAAGAGTTTTATTTAATTTCTGTTCTGCTTTTGTGTCCGTTTGATTTTTTTTGGTCAGTTGGGCAGTTGTTTTGTGCACAGACAAAACCCATGCAACTTACTACACCAACCGTAAACTTGACATTTGAGCAGCACTGTGAAGCTCTTATTCTCTCTGTTAATGAAAACAACCTCAGCAGCCAGAGACAAAACATGTTCTAGATTGCATGTGACCCACTGAACACGAAACAGATGCTCTAATGCTGAATAACCCAGTCAGCTCACAAGTCCCAAGTGTACCTGAAAGAATTCATTGTGTTTTTTGTGTGTTTACTTTGTTCTCAGCCTCTGTGCCTCAGTTCTGTAACTCTCCCACAATGATTGTGATGGTTGGATTGCCAGCCAGAGGGAAGACATACATTTCCAAGAAGCTCACTCGTTACCTGAACTGGATCGGTGTTCCGACAAAAAGTCAGTTTTCCAAATGAATTCTTGAGTCCTAATCATATAAGTGTCATAAAGAAACAGTTAATTTTTCTCTGTTTATCAACTCCATCAGTGTTTAACGTGGGCCAGTACCGCAGGGAGGCCGTCAAGATCTATAAAAACTTTGAATTCTTCAAACCTGATAATGAGGAAGCCATGAAGATTCGCAAGTAAGTACGCTAAAGATTAACTACTCAAAGGTGCACCTGTTTACTCATTTAAAACAACAGACTGGCCATTTTTAATATTGGCATTTGTAACAGTATGTAAATAACTGAAGAGAATTTTGTAAAATCATGGTGTGACAGATTTGATTTATCTTCATTTTCACACGACACTCATCAATCATTCATATTTTTGCAGTTTTTATCCCTTTGCATATACAAGTGTCACTTCTCTCCCAGGGCCTGTGCAGCAGCTGCACTCAAAGATGTTGCTTTGTACTTCACAAAGGAACAGGGGCAAGTAGCCGTGAGTAAGAGGACAACTAAAACTGTCCTTCTGATTTTGAAATAACTTTCTCTATCTATTATTTTTTTTCTTATCATTGTAAGAGCAAAAATGTGAAACATATGGCATCTATACTGTACAACCTAATCGTGTCACTGTTACCAAATGATAACACCTGTGTCCTGTCTCATGCAGGTATTTGATGCTACAAACACCACAAGAGAAAGGAGGGCAATCATTCTTAGTTTTGCAATGGAAATGGGCTACAAGGTAAGTGTTAAACAGCTATTTAAAGCAATTATTTGTGGGGGGGGGGTCTTGTTTAGAGTAGAATAAATAAAATTACATCAATTTTCTGTCACTATATATTCAAGAATCAAAGAGGTAAATTGTTTTCAGCTGTGGCAGTGGTTGAGTCTAGCAATGGAGGCAATCCTGCACAACTAAAAACATCCTATATTGCTTTAGTTTAAAAGCTAAGAGTATAATAACCTAAATATTTATTTGGATATATTTTTTGTGTATGCCTCAAAGAAAAGCCAGGCTAGCTGTTACTTTGTGTTTCTGGGAGCTGAGCATCTGGATATTGTAGTGTTGTATTTCCTGTCAAGTCCAAAGAATCATATTGACCTTCTACTTAATAATGTCATTACCTGTGATTTTTGTACAGAGTTATATCAACGCTTACCATGTGGTTCCTTTAAGCTAACCGCTAACTATACTGTATTTACTCATGATGTAAAAATACTTTTTTCAACTGACTTCTTGAATGCAGGTGTTCTTCGTTGAATCCATCTGTGATGACCCAGAAATCATTGCAGAGAATATCAGGGTGAGAAGCACATCTATGCTATAACCTTTTTGTGTGTAGACTTCAGTATGTACAGAAGCTGTTGTGCAATTAAAAAAAATGTTTTAATCTAAACCTTCTTTTGATTTCAGCAAGTAAAATTCGGCAGCCCTGATTATGCAGACCGTGACATAGATGAAGCCATGGAAGATTTCACCCAGCGCATCGACTGTTACAGGGCAAGCTACATGCCTATAGATGATGAGAAAGACAGGTGCGACCTATGACACCTTTCTTCCAGTGATGATAAGAATGCATAAAAAATACTTCCATAACTTTTTTTTTTTTTATCTTCAATGCCATAAATTTGATCAGGAAACTCTCCTACATAAAGATCTTCGATGTGGGCAGTAGATACCTTGTGAACCGGGTCCAGGACCACATTCAGAGCAGAATAGTGTACTACCTCATGAACATACACGTCACACCAAGATCCATCTACCTGAGCCGCCATGGAGAGAGCGAACTCAACCTGTTAGGTCGGATTGGTGGAGACACGGGCTTATCCCCTAGAGGACAAAAGGTAATTTGGCTGACAAATAAAAACATATAAAGAACTGACATTTTCTGAAAAAGCAAAATTAGTTACCTGTAGTTTGCAATCTTAAGCATTTCATGTGGTGAGTAAAATTGCAAAAATGTGGTATAAATGCCAGTCTACTTCCTAAAAGGTCAACTAGCTTCTTAAAATCATACTCTTTCTCTTAGTATGCTAGTGCCCTGGCGACCTTCATCAAAGGACAGAAAATCATAGACCTCAAGGTGTGGACGAGTCACATGAAGAGGACTGTCCAGACGGCAGAGGCCCTGGGAGTCCAGTATGAACAGTGGAAGGCTCTTAATGAGATAGATGCGGTGAGTTATAAAACAATAACACCTCAGCAACACTAATTCAATTATTCCAATAAATGATTCATTTTGTTTTTCTAATGCTTGAAAAGTTGATATGATTACATAGTCAGTTAATATGTTTTTCCCTTTGGTTCAGTCTGTAATAGACCAAAGTATATTAAAACGTTATAAAATTATCCACAAATGTTTTAAGTTTGCAGAAGAGGCAATTTTGAGTGTAACGTATATGAATATTTGATCAAGTGTCTTGACAGATGAGCTGCAACATTATTTATCCTCTAGCACCATCTTCAGTCCAAAACATAAATTGCAATCTTGGTTACTGGCATCACTATGAGCTTCACTGTGTACTTGGTGCTAGTAAGGAAATGTTGCCATTGCACAGTTATACACTTTGCTTTTTGCTCACATCACCACTTTTTCTAAGTCGTTAGCGTGGATGTTATAATTTTAATTTTAATCTGCTATTAAAATCTCCAAGAGACTGAAATTTCAATACCTTAGAGGTTTTGTGCTTTTATGCTACGGTACACTTGCAAAAAAGATTTTCATGTTATATTTTTCTCACTAAGGGTGTATGTGAGGAACTAACTTATGAGGAAATTCAGGAGAATTTCCCAGAAGAATTTGCACTAAGAGACCAGGACAAATATCGCTATCGGTACCCAAAGGGTGAGGTAAGCCCTGCTCTGAATGAGTTTTAGAAATATATTTTATGCAACCAAGAGAGCATAACTGTGATTTTAATAAACACACTGCTGACACCTGAATCTTTCTAGTACAAATAATTTCCTCTGTTGGCCAGTGAGCAGCTTACCAGAAGCAGTTTGCACACTGACTTGATCATTCAGGGAGAGTATTTAGTTTGGAATGTAGAGCTAAAAAAGATTTGATATTTGTCTTTCAAAAATAAAGCTTTAGAGTGGCTTTGACAAAACTGTAGAGAGGAAACAAATTGTTGTGTGCTCAAAGCTTGCAAAATGTTGCAAACACTGTCGGAGGTCACTTAGTCTTTAAAAATTTAAAAATAATAAAGACTAAGTGTCTTTAAGCAGATTTTCTTCCTGCTCTTGCTTTTTTGTTCTAAATCAGATCAGCATTGATGCTAGCCTTTGGCTTAGTCTACCTGCTTCCTGTTTCCTTCATTTGGGTCCCCTCTTTTTTAGCTATACAATTTGTTGTCCCTACCATTTCCAGAAAAATGGGGTGGCTGTAGCTCAGGTGGCAGAGCAGGTCAGCCACTAAAGGTCGGTGGTTCGATCCCAGGCTGCCTCCGGGCTGCATTCCAAATATCCTTGGGCAAGATACTAACCCCATGTTTGCCTACTGGTGATGGTCAGAGGGCCTGGTGGTGCCAGTGTCCGGCAGCCTCGCCTATGTCAGTGCGCCCCAGGGTGGCTGTGGCTACAATGTAGCTTGCCATTGCCAGTGTGTGAATGTGTGGGTGAATGACTGAATGTAGTATAAAGCGCTTTGGGGTCCTTAGGGACTGAGTAAAGCGCTATACAAATACAGACCATTTACCATTTTACCAAAAATGTACCTTAAGAGAATCAGAATAAAATGAGCCTGGGTTAGGGTCTGGGTCTTGTGGGAAAATGTTTGAAATTATGTCTTTTGTCCAGTCCTATGAAGATCTAGTCCATCGTCTAGAGCCAGTCATCATGGAGCTGGAGAGGCAGGAAAATGTTTTGGTCATTTGCCACCAAGCTGTGATGCGCTGCCTGTTAGCTTATTTCCTTGACAAACCTGCAGGTAGAACAAAAAAACGTCTCAAACTGTGCACAAACATGTGATACAATATACAACAGTTTGTGATATTATTTTAATTCCACAAACACTTCTTCTAATATTTACATTTGTGTCTCTGAAGATGAGCTGCCTTATCTAAGATGCCCTCTTCACACTGTGCTCAAACTCACACCGATAGCCTACGGTAGGTGGTAAGAACTTAATTATATATGATATATATGATGGTATCGCACATTCACTCTATGTAAATCTTTTTCTTACATCTTCATTTGTAGGGTGTAAGGTTGAGTCATTTTTCCTCAATATTGAAGCTGTCAACACACACAGAGAGAGGCCACTGGTGAGTTTACATAACTGCACATTTGTTGTAATACTTAGCTTTGCCAATAATTCATCTGTAGGCAGTAAAGTTGTATCATTTGTATGTACTGATTAAATAAATATGTGTGCAGTTGTGAAGAAACGATGCCTTTGCTTAATTATCCCTTTTTCACTTACATTGAATTTATTGACATTGTAAAGTTGGATTCATAAATGGTAATATTACATACTACTCGTACTAAAGTTAGATCTGATTCATCGTTCTGTTTTTCAGTAACTTCCACTTTAGTCTTGAAAGATTCTTTTGTTGCTTTTATTTTTGCAGAATGTCAACATCACCAGAAACCCAGAGGAAGCTCTGCAGACTGTTCCTGACCACATATAAACACTGTTTGCTGGAAAACTGAGTTATGTGAAACTGGATTTGTTACCACTGATAAGCTTCACTAAGTTTTAGAGATGCACTCCAGTCACAGCTGAATGTGGGAAAATAGAAGACAGGAGGTCTTTGAAGCTGAAGAGGTGATTCCAGACACGGGACTACATCAACACCGAAGCACAAGGAGTGAGTGAAAAGGGAATAACCTACAGCTGGCTCTGTTTTCAGGATGTCTGTGGAATATTTCTGTCTCATCAGACTTAATGTGGTTTTCTTTTCTGAAAGCACACAGTGTTTACAAATGATTTATAGACAGTAATAATGCACTTTGTCTTGAGCTGAAGGCAAGAATAAAATTGTAGATGTAGATGGGTTTTCATTATCACTCTTAACCTTGCCTTCATGTACATTTAACTGTGGTACAGATAACAAAATGTGTTGTTGATCATCAAGTTATGTAATTAGGAATCAGCACCATGGACAGCACCCAAACAAAACATTTACTTTATACTTGGATGACTGTAACTACTGTAATGAAATTAAATAGCATGGTGAGTTCGAATAAATAAAAGTTGTACATAGAAAATATATAAGAATAATTATCTCCAATATGTGAGAAAATAAATTCGCATTAAAATTCAGGAGTCTTTGTTTTATTCTTCTAATTGCCACGTGCAACAATTAAAGTCTAAATTCTTCCCACATACCTAATGACCAATGTTACTGTTTCCTTTTTTTCCCTTTTTCTTTTAAATAATGGGTCTTTGAGAAATGTCGCTCGAGTGAAACGAAAACATTTGGCAGTAATTAGAAAAAAAATACGGCTGTGATTATTTTAAGGAGCGCTGTTACGGAGAAGCTGGGGAGGGGAGACTGTTTTGGTGTTTTCCTGAAGTTCTCGTTAAGTCCCCAAAGTTTCCAGTATATATGAATGCATGCTGGAAGCGGCCTCCTCCTTTTCCGTGAAAACTCGTGCAGGTTTCTAAATGAACTTCACTCTCTTTGGCATTTTTTCTTACACAACACCTCACGGATGTTTGGCTCTTTTCTGAATGTATTTTTATGTCAATATCAAAGCCGCAGTTTAGGTGACGCGAGAGAGGGGGTGGACTGCCCACTGCAAAAAGTGTAAAAATTAGGCGTGTGCTCTGCTTGCTTCAGTCAGCGTGAGACCACTGGACGATTTCCTTATTTTTCAGCACCAAGTCTAAATTATTAAGGGCAAAATGTTTTTAAAGGTTCCCTGTGTTCTAGTCTTCTTCACTTTGTACATGCGAGAGGGATTATCAGAGGATTATTACGCAAAAGTTAGCGCGAATATTAATTTACAGGTAAGATTTTGGTTTTTTATTACACAGTTAATGCTGCTTTCTGAAATATCATCCCTATTGCATTAGGACAATATTAATGACGCAGAGCTTTATATTTAATGCATTTTAAACGCAAAAACATGCATTTAAATCCAGCAAATCTCAGTCAACTCTTTGCGAAATATTTAAAATTTATTAAAGCTATATTTCCTAAAGTGAAAGTTTGCACAATGGAGAACTATATAATAAGATTACCAAAAAAGATCTTATTATATAGTCCTATTTTTCTGTAACCCGTATAATTAATGTTGCGTAACTTTCTCTTTAGGGGGTTTCCACACTTACTATTTGTTTATGCTAACTTCGCACCAATACACAGGATATTTGGTAATGTATTGACACAGCAATGACTAGTGTATTGAATTAACATTGGACACCGAACCGTGCAACCCTGGCCCGGGCCTGCATACAGTGAGAGCATTTATTTCCAGTTCCACTTCCCCTCCATTCATGAATGACTTTGATTCAAACTGTTATGACACTTAATCTTGACCCAACCCTCACACAGGAAGATTGTACAGATTGATTCAAAAATGGGACATTTTGGACAAATGATTGAACCAAGAATCTCTTGTTACACTTACAAAATGTGCCATTTCCTAAATGCACTTGAAATACCAGTGTGGTTTGTTTTTTGTTTTTTTATGTGGTGCCTTGTTTCTTTTCCAGAGAGCAAAACGTCAAAGCAAACCAACAAAACCAGTGGTAAGTCTGTGCATTTTTTTGTAATAGTGCTAAGTAATGGCTGTTCTGTGGCTCTAACAGCTGTGCAGATTTCATTCTGTTCTGTTGGTTGCACAACCTGAACTGAACAACAAGCTTCACAGTCAACCACCACTGCCTCTCAGGATATCTTCAGTAACTCCACTGTGGGATTTTTCCTTCAGGTTACTTCAGTCTGTAGCAGTTCCCTGGTAACATACAGTAATTCTTGGGCAAACCACAGCTTTCCTAAATACCGCTGAGGTGGAAGCCTGATGTGGCTGTCTCTGCCCCCTGCCTGTCGCCTTGTCCTGCACTAATGTGGCCAGCATTAACCAGATTGGTCTCAGTAGGCGCCAGCAGTCCCTAAGTAAACAACAGGAGAGCACAGACACCCTGCAGGGAACTGCTTTGTGTTGTTTCACTGGCTTGATGCAGGAGAATCAGTAATATAAAAAAAAAGAAAAACAAGGATACCACATTGACAGTAAGTTCATATGCATGTGGCAACTGGGAAAGATTCATACAGGTGGCAAATCTACAGTAAACTGCAATTTATTTATTTTTATTTCTATTTTTGCAGTCAGTTGACTTGATTGACGTCTTGTATTTTTACAGTAAAACAGGGCTTTGCTCCTATGTGACGAGAATCTCCTGTAAATCCTTCAGTTTGCTGCTTTCTTCTCCAACCTTTAAGTTATTCACTTATTTTTTATGTCTCCAGCTGAAGGTGACAGACTACCTTGTTAAGTGTTCAGTGGTGTCCCGCTATGCTGTTACTACAGTCCAGAGTTCAGTGTGGAACCAGCTCCCAATAACTAAGGAGGCTGCCTTTGAGGTGGACCTGCCCTCCTCTGCTTTCATCTCTAACTTCACCATGTAAGTCGGCTCAGTATTATCAAGTCTGCTACCTATGGTATCATTTCTTTGTTAGTGTGTCTGTGTTCTTTCTGTTTCCTTTTCTTCTTCTCTACTTGTTTGTTGTTACTTTAAAAGCCTGAAACAGCACCCAATCTGTGTCTCACTCTTTTGAATAACTGTCTTCCAGTAGTGTTCACTGTATATTGATTAAAATATAATAATGCATAGCTACTAAGTCCCACATTATAAAGTGGACAAGAAAAAAACACTTTTTATCTGCTATATAGAGAGAAGACAATAAATAATAGAAAAAAAGCAGTATCAATATAAATATGTAGAGTATCTCACAATTGAGAAATAACGCAAATTGAAATGAACAGAAGTAATCGTTTTCATTGGTGGCCTGAATCATAAAGTAAAACTTGAGACAAATTAGTAGAAATTAGTACGTGTAGATCATTTTTGCTGTAGGAAACTAGAATTCTGGTCTGGAGTAGATGCATAATTTTATGACCGAGAGGTTTCAAAACCGCTCTCCTTTAAAAATGCTAAATATAAACAAGACAAATAAGTCAACACTGCAGGCCAAACAGCAAGCCCGGAGTTGAATTTGGGAGCGGAAGCAGGTCAGGAGGAGGAGGAACCTGAGGGTACATGAATGCCAAGCTTTGTAAACCCAAGTCCAAAAGTTAATAGGAGTTTGCCCAGTTCCCCTTTCTCCCCCACACAGTTTACTAAGGCACCTTGCCAGTTCAGATATGCTGCATAGACACACACTTACATCAGCTGTCCGTGTGTGTGTGTGTGTGTGTGTACACAGGAGGATTTAGACTTGAATTTTTTAAGTATGTGTGAGTTTGGAGCTCGTACAGCTTCTTGCACCCATAATTCTTGACATTTCTCTCTCACTCCTTGTCACACACAGACTTGCGTACATTCATAAATGTTTTCACACAGACATTCAGAACTCATAAGACTGCCTGTATGTCACTAAATACCCAGAGGAAAAAAGTTGTGGTATATGTATTGCGTTAGTTCTTTGGCATTTCGGCTTCCAACACTAAGAACTCTATGTGTAGATCACTGACGTACAGCCGTTCCTTCACCCTCTCAGCCAGCCACACATATAAATATAAGCACCTTCATTTTCCACTCTGCTCTCTCATGCCATTCTGCTCTGCTTTTCAAACAAGACCCGCTTCAAGGCTGCGGGTTTATTTTAGTTAGCTCTTGATGTTTTTTTCCCTTTGGATATATTTGTTCTGTGGACCTGACCTTAATTTAGCACCTTGTCACGTGCCAGCAGTGGTCACGATGCCTAGAAAGTGCACTGTGTGAATTTAATCTCATTTTTGAGCGCTGGTTTTGGTTGGGATTTAGCTGGGTGTAGCACACAGTGGCACTCCCCTGGAGGATCATCAGCTTGTGAGCTCTCTCGCTCCATTATTGTTATTTTTACACGAAAATTACTCTTTTCCACTCTTCCTGTTTATAACCTTCACCTCCTTTTCATGTTGTATGAACTCGATATGTATACAAGTTTGTGTGGCAGCTTTGTAATTTCTGTGGAAATACGATGTGTAAAGTAAAACAAATCATGTTTAACATCCCCGTGTGTGTCACACAGAGAGGTATTTCTTCTTTCCTTTTCCCATCAGCACTTCCAGCGGCAAGGTGTATGTGGCCCAGGTGAAGGAAAGGGCTACTGCCAGGAAAATGTACGACACAGCTAAGAAGCAAGGAAAAACAGCAGGACTTGTCGCTACCAAGTCAGTCTTAGGGAAAATTGGAACTTTTTACCACCTTTGATAACTGCAGAATATTATGTTTTGTTTTGGGGGGGGTAGTTTTTTCATGTTTGCAGTTTACAGAAATACAACTTTGCAAATATTACATTTGTGGTTTTGCAGAGAGAGGGAAATTGAGAAGTTTCGTGTTGCAGTGAGTGTGCCATCAGGGGCTAGGGTGTCCTTCTTCCTGACGTACGAGGAGCTGTTACAGCGTCGGCTCGGCCGCTATGAGCTCACTCTGGGTCTGAGGCCCGGTCAGCTTGTCCAGAACCTCACATTACATGTCTGCATAAGAGAGAGGACAGGCATCAGTTTTCTTAAGGTCCTTCCTCTTAGGACAAGCCAAGCGGTCACCAACACCCCAGCTCAAGGTAAAATCTGAACGATTAGCCATCAGAATATTTACATGTGCATTATTTGACTTAACATAATGTCTTGTTTTTGCTGGCTGTAATTTCATACCACACAGGGATGGTATATTCTTAAATGGTTGGTGAGAAAAATGCAAATAAGTCTACTTACTTTGATGGAAATTTTGTAGATTATCTTCTATTGGTTTTGAGTCCAACCTCATGGCATGTTTCCCACAGCTAATACCGATGCCCCTGCCTCTACTCATGTCGAGCAGAGTCCCGAGTGTGCTCGGGTCCGCTACACTCCGACTCTAAATCAACAGAAGAGCATTTCTTCCAATGGTCTTAATGCTGATTTCATCATCCAGTATGATGTGGATCTAAAAGACCTCATAGGTGATGTTCAGGTCAGCACCTTTCATTCCTGACTTTGTCACACTATAAACATGTAATACCGATAGAAGCAAAGGTTGCTTTTAACAATCTCTTTTCTCACTCACTGTCAGGTGTATGATGGCTACTTTGTGCATTACTTTGCACCTAGGGGACTTCCTGTGGTTCCTAAGGATGTTATATTTGTCATTGATGTCAGCAGCTCAATGATAGGCAATAAGATAAAGCAGGTAAAGTGGACAAAGGCTCATTTGGATAGCTAGACCTGTATTAAGTGTCTTAAGATGAAGAAACTTGCTCACATATGACAGCAACGTCGGTTTTCTGTAAATAATTCCAAGAATTTCTGTCAGTAGACAAAGCAAGCTATGAGCACCATCCTTGGGGACCTTAGAGAGGGAGACCACTTCAACATCATCACCTTCTCGGACAAGGTTCACACTTGGAAAAAAGGCAAAACGGTGCGGGCAACTCGGCAGAATGTATGGGAAGCCAAAGAGTTTGTGAAGAGGATTATAGCAGAAGGATGTGAGTCCAGAACTGATACTGACTGAACTGCTGCACTGTACACAATTTGAATCATTGCATCAGCTGATTGTTAAACTTGTGCCTTCAACTAATTATCTCCTTTTTCCACTCCTTTGTGTCAGGGACCAATATTAATGCAGCTCTGCTCTCAGCTGCCCAGCTTGTCAATCCTCCATCCTCTGGCCCTTCCAGACGCACCTCATCTCATCGTGTTCCTCTGGTGATTTTCCTCACTGATGGGGAAGCAACCATTGGAGTCACATCCAGTGAGACTATCCTCAGTAATGCCAAGAAGGCTTTGGGCTCGGCCTCTCTGTTTGGCCTTGCCTTTGGAGATGATGCAGACTTCCTGCTTCTCAAACGCCTGGCTCTGGAAAACCGAGGTGTAGCCCGGATGGTGTATGAAGATGCAGATGCAGCCTTGCAGCTTAAGGACTTCTATGATGAAGTAGCTAGCCCTTTGTTATCAGACATACAGCTGTCTTATCTGGATGATCAAGCATTTGATGTCACCCGCTCCCTTTTTCCAAACTACTTCCAAGGATCTGAGTTGGTTGTGACTGGGAGAGTTAAGACCGGGGTCAAAGATTTAAAGGTGCTAGTCTCAGCTATAGATTCAAAGCAGCAAATGAAGCTGGAGAACGACGTGTTTATTTCCCAAGAAAATGGGACAACAGATTCACTTGAGTGTTCGGGAGATTTAGAAGGGATATCCAGCTTTGTTCATCGCCTCTGGGCATATTTCACTATCAAAGAGCTTCTACTGGCTAAACTGAATTCTACTGATCCTGCAACTCAAAAGTTGCTAACAGATAAAGCAACCAACCTCTCCCTCAAATATAACTTTGTTACACCAGTCACTTCTTTAGTTGTAGTTAAGCCAGATGAAGATGAAGCAACTCAAAGTCCAACCACTCCAGAACCCACCACAGCTGCCACGATAACCACAACAGCAACAACTACAGCTACAACCAAAATGTCAGCTGCTGGTGTAGCAAAGAAGTCCAGCTCACCACCTAACCTTAAGCATAAGAAGTTAAATCCAGGCCTGCCTAAGTCACCTCCAAATACCCTAAAACCCCCCAAAACATCAGTGGTTACATCATCCAAAAAAGCAGCTACAACCTCAAGTCCGAGCTCTATGAAAACAGCCCCTGCACCATTCTCTGCTAAAAAGCTCACTCCTTCCCATAATGGCCTGAAAACGTCTCCTCCTCCTCCAGCTGGAAAGATACCCACTTCTCTGCTAAAGATTTTAAAAACAGCACCACCTCCTGCACCTGGAAAGGTCTCCACTCCCCTGCCCAATGCCAAGAAACCAAATACTCCCACAACCACCCCTATGCTGACATTCACCAGCAGTCTCTCACCACCACTAAGTTCAGTCAGAACTAACCCTGCCCCCCTACCCAGTACAGCACGGGCAGCTCTCCCTCCTGTCAAAGTGACTCTAAGAGCAGAGAACAGCACATCGTCTGCTCCATATGCTCACCTGCCCGAAAGCACTCCTTCCCTCACTCACTTGTCATCTACACTAACCTCTCCCACTCCAGCTCCAGCTCCAGCAGTGGAAAACAACAACACAAAATCAAATGTTGACACAGACCTGAGGATTGCCACCCTAGTGTCAGCTACCTTTGCTCCCATGCCTGGCGTAACAGATGGGGAACAACTGTGGGAGGCAGCACAGCTTCTGGGTAGGTTACACCTCATCTCATCTGTTGTGTGCTGAGCTTAATTCACAGTCAAAGTCTTTTTTTGCAACCTGGGAGTTATAAGGTGGATGATGAGGAGTAGACTGTTTGTTTATCATTTATTGAACTGTTTTTTGTCTCTCCACTAGATGTCTCTTCTTCCATTCAAATTCAAAGACGAGGTAAAACTGGATTTCCTCTCTATAATAACAAATGCTTTGTTAGTCAAAGCGCTATTTGTATATATTTGTATAGATTTGTATAGATTTGTACCTGTTTATACTGGAGCTAGTAGTAATAGTTATATCATATACTAGAATATAATTTACTTAAAGGGGACCTATTGTAGTGCCCTGTACTTTTATTCTTGGATTCTAGAGTAGGTTAGCATAAGTCTAAGTTTAGAATAATTCCTGTTCATCTTATACTGGACCTTGACATAGCTCTTTAATTGATCTGCCATCTGAAATCAGTTAATACACCCTTTGACTGGCAGCACCTCACAAACAGAAGGCTTCACTGCAAGTGGGCAGGACTAAAAAGTTAGGACACACTCGAGATTATGGACAAGTTTAATAAAAAAAAAACAACTATGATGCACAAAATGAAACTCTTGTACATAGTGAACATACTGTAGTGGTCAGATATGCTAAATGCTGACATCCTGATCACTCTTTGGGTATCTTTATTTCATACCAGGACCAATTTCCTGGTTCAGTATGGCAAAGGAAGCTCAGCTTACTGCAGGTCACTGAAGAACTCAGCTGATGTTGTTGTGTTGTTGTACATTTTTCCTGTATTATCGAAGGCAGGAAATTTTGAAAAATAAGAAAATGCCTCACTTTGACCGAGTTCATCCAAAGACAAAGAAGGAGGGATGGACAAATAGGATGAAAAAAAATAGAAAGTGATAATTGAGCATAATAGTTCCCCTTCATAAAATTGTCTCTGGAAATTAAAGCATCTGGCAACATTGGAGGGGAAATTATTCTCTGGTGGAAATGTTCACTTTAAAGAATTAAAGAAATGCTTTATTTTCAGTGTTGAAGCAAAAACAACATATTTTATAATTGTAAGTAAGTAAGTAAAATTTATTTATATAGCGCTTTTCACAGATAAAAAAAAATCACAAAGTGCTTTACAACACAGGAAATGGAAATATAAACAATATAACAGTAAATAAAACAGCAAATAAAACAAAATTAAACTATAAAACTATAAAAACAACATAAGAGGAAATTAATCAAATGCTTTTCAAAATTGTGTTATATATATTTTAAAATGATAAATTTGCATTTTAAAATACTGTACCTATAGCTGTCAGATCAATGCACCTCAGAATCCTTCTTAAACACAGTTCTTAGATTCAGTAACATTATCTAGCTGTTAAAATACACCATGACAACTTGTCATATGCAGCACAGGAGAAGAATATAAATCAGTAATAATTTGCATATCTTTTCTATTAAATAGATATTGACCTGGTGAAAGGTAAGCATCATGATTAAATCATTATATTCTGTTATTTCTAAAATCAGCTCCTTTGGTGAGCAGTGCAGTGTGAAGTGAACCTGCTTTTCATACATTGTTTCCATTTCTCAGACTATGATGCAACCTATGAATATGATTACGATGACGATCAAGATAACTGTAAGTTTTCGATGTATATTGGAAGCAATACTCTACTCTCACTTACGACCTGAAATGTTTCTTTACAATACATGTCTGACTTATTTTCAGGGTATATTACTGACACTTTTGGTGAGTATTTGAGAATGCAAAAGCTGCATATAAAGTCATTAAGTGTAAAGATGCTGCTTGCAATACAGTCCTGTCATTGGTTTCAGTGCTTGGGAGTGAGGAGGATTGTCCTTTAGCTGAATGTCTTGTGTTTTTAGAGCCTCAACCCAAAATGGGAGCCATCAGGGGATTCTCCTCATCAGGTTGAGTCAACATTTTATTTATTTTCTCTTTAGTAGGCCCTTAAACTAATTTCAGTAGTTAATGTATATACTAAATATTATCTTTTGCAGTTGATGGAGATCCTCATTTTGTGGTCCAGCTAGCAAAGCTTCACCAAAACCTGTGTTTCACAGTAGATGGCAGGGCTAATGATGTCCTCAGACTGCTGGAAGACCCAGAGAGAAGTATGCAGAGCAATAAGATCTATAATCTGACACTGTAATTTTGGTGTTTAAACATCTACATATGTCTCCTTTCTCTTCAAGATATCATTGTAGATGGCCACCTAATGGGGGCTCCCTCCAAAGATGGTGTTGAAGACCGTTTGCGAAACTACTTTGACCAGCTCACAATCTCCGCGGTCACGGGCAACTCTGGTGACATCATGATCACACTCACGCTGGACGCTGTAGTTTTGGAAGGTGAAGGGCGGGATACGCTTCCCATCAATCAGCAGGGATCAGTGACGAGGCAAGGCGTGACTGTTACTGTGGACAACCACCAGAGCTGCTGGATCGAGCTGGCAGAGGGCGTGCAGTTCCTGGTCCTGTTCCATCATTATAAACATCCAAGCTACCTGCAGTTGGCTCACCTGGGTTTTTACATCACAGATGGGCGAGGGCTTTCTGGCTCCACCCAAGGCCTTCTGGGTGCGTACACTGAAGCTTCCACTGAAAATGAATATGTTGTTTTGTTTTGGTACATATGGCATAAAACACTTAAAATACTTAATTGCAGATAAAAAGCTCCCACTTACAAAACCATTTTAAATACTACACTGTTGGCTACTGTGCCCAGTGGTTTAAAAGAAAGCTGGCCACGACATTCAATTTTCATTTCTTTAGATGTGATATCAGTTATAGAAAGAGAGTTGTTGTATTCAGTCTTACTAGCTTAAAAAAAGAAGACAACTGGACTTCTTTAGTTTTCTGGAAGATGTTTCATCTCAGCCAATAGTTCCCTTGAATGTAATAAAAAAATAAATAGCAAATAAACAAAAATATTCAGGATCAATATCTCCTTCCTGATCTGATTACTAGAAAAAAACCTGCAAACCTCACTGTCAACAGTTTAATGTACAACCTTTCTAATTTCTACCATTGCCAACCTAAACATCAGCTAAATAATGCTACAAATGTTTAAATCCCATCGCAACTGTAAATGTCAGCGTAGGTTCTCAGTCATCCAGGTTAAGGTAGTCTAAGGAGCTAATGGGATTTGGGGTTAGTATGTCTCTTTGCTTAATCATAGACTCTACATAAAAGATTATGTAGCCACTATCACCATTACTTTGAAGCCTGTTGTTGACCATTTTTACTATTTTATTTGACTATTTTACCATTTAAAGCATTTCATCATCATAGTTTTTTGAAGTATGATGCATCATTAATAATGTAGTGGACCTGACAGTGTAAATGGGGGCTGCTGCATATTCATACTGTACTGACTTGTCAGCCAACTCCAGTACTTGATGTGATGATGACTATTTTGTAATATACCAAACAAGCATTATGTAAACAATCTCTTGTACACATGGATTTTAAAACTTTTAACAAAAGAATGTAGCACACTACAGAAGGCCTTACTTTTTAGACTCGAAGACACTTTCCATCTTTTATGTACAGTCTATGATCTTAGTGTTAAATGTAAATGATAAATAGAGCAATCAAACGTGCTTATTTACTCAATCAAGTGTCAAAAAATAATAATCGGATACCTCAAATTTATAGATGAATACAGGAAGTGAGTTTAAGTTGTTACTTCTCATCATTTCTGTCCTTTATCCATCTGCAGGCCAGTTTCAACGCGCTGACATTAATATAACAGTGGTGAAAGACTACGTGGATGAAGGTCTTCATCAAGTTAAGAAGGAACAAATTCTGGCCAGAGGGATCCTGAGGTGGGGATCAGAGCAAATGCCAGTTACCCTGCAAGACAAGACGCTGAAGGACTCGGTGCAAAAACGCCACCGAAGCAGCTGCTGGGTGGTGCCCAAGACAGAGATAGAGAGACTACTGGGTCATTCGTATGAGAGCTACGTGGTGAATCATGTGTAATTCTAGCCGAGTCATTTCCACCATGTTGTCTGTTTGCTGCACAGCTCAAGTCACAGCAGGTAATGTGGATAGGTTATCACAAAAGGATGAACCAAAGCTGGGATCCAACTGGGTTAGTTGCCTGAATGGTATTCTGGAAGGGTGGGACAGATTACAGACTGCAAAGAAAAGTTTCCTGTAAAGAAGTAAATACAGCAAAGGATTGAATGGTGCCCCTGTTCCATCTCCACCACTGAATTTGAACCAGATTCAAGCTTCGTATCTATGACAGAGACGCAATGTACTCCTGGTCGCATGGCAACTACAAAATATCCAATGGTTGCTGCAGCAGTTTGCGCATGCTCCAAAATGTCTTGCAAAACAACCCTGTTTACAAGTTGTTTATCACATTATTCTTATATTTTATGATTGAATTTTTGATAGTCAAAAGCTATCTTTCAGAATTACTTGTAATCATAGTGTAATTCAATAAGTTGTATTTTTAGTACAAGTGTATATAAAACATTAATGTATGTATTTGTGTATAGATAAACTTCCCGTGTCAGCATTGCATCTTTAATAAGCAACACAAATCAGCCTTTTCCAGGTTTGCCATGTGCTTTTTATTTTTCTGTCATTTCATTCATAGTTTAATTCATTTTATTTGTTACACAAGACATTAGGCATTGTTCACATACTAGTGATCAAACAAGGACAGTAAGTTTTCTACTACTCAGTCTATTTCTTTTGTCAATTTCAAGGGATATTTGTCAATAGTGGTTTTCAAAGGCCATACTAAACAGTACAACCACACATGAGGCTTTTGTTTTCAATAAATAAAAAAGAGGATAGTATCTGATGCTGAGGAAGGGTGGGCGGGGGGCTTCAGATATATCTATGTTCAAGAAGTAAACAGTATTCCAGTTATCACCAGATAATGTGTTTCCAGGATGAAGAGCACACACAATGTTAAATGACGCACAGTGCGAACACACAGCTGTATCGATTTTGACTCCAGATCTATGACTGACTGCTGCTGTTGTCCCTCCATCAAATCCTGTTTCTTAGGAATGCTAAAAATCATTAAATCCTGATGCAACACTGGAATGATCACTAAATTAGGTAAACATAACACATGACACAGCAAATAAACAAACAAAAGAAATCGGTGTGCATAACGTTTCAAATCCATTTTATCATCAGAACGTAAACTATTAGCATAGCATATTCAGCATTTGACGTAAACCCTTCCACGATACGTCAGCGAAATTCAAATAAATAGAGCTCAAAGATAAGACACGTCAACACCCCAGACGCGATAACTTTGTTTAGAGTTGTCAAGGGGTTGGTCGCGGTGGATAAAGTGAAATGGAACCGCTTCAGTTTTCAGTAAAGTAAAATGGATCGTAGCATCTCGTGTTTGTTTTGATCCATAACGAGCCAAGCCACAGATCAATCTGACTGCGAGTGTGCACTGCAGAGATATGAGGAACTGTCTCAGGCGTACAATAACACCTCTGACTCGGTAGGAAACAGCATCCTCTCTATAGTGTTCAGCCAGCTCTGCAGAGCAACATACACCACCAAACTTTTAATGTCAGCGAGCTTTGCCAATAACAGAATCACCAGTTTTGGCACAAGACTGGCCTCCCACTACATGTTAGTAAAAACAAAGCAGTCAATGTTTTGAATGGGTCCAAACATTTGAATTAGACCCAAAATTAAGGCTACAACCAAATAAAAGCATCTTGGTTCACTCTCATGGGGCGGCACTTGGAACTGTGGTTTCATACTTATGCTATGCTACAGTCTTTTGAAAATTTCTTGCTTTTCCCTCTATGTCACACTACAATTTTTTTCTGAGTTTTAATCCCAAGGGTAATGACTTATCTCAATGACAAACACAAGGGTTGAAACAACCAAGACACAATCTGGTGCTTCCACTGAGAGCCGAAATTTCAGTCTTCACTCTCTTCCCCCGCAAGTGAAACTTCGCCAAGACAACAATCTCCTCACATACATTCTTATCCTTCACCATTTCAAAAATCTTCCAGATCTCTTCACAGAAACCCTCACCTAACACAAGACAAATCCTCACCATGCCTTTTTGCCCCAATGTTCCCTTTTTCTTGTAAATGTTCAACTCGAAGACCACGGTTTCATCCTCTGCTCTGTAAACTTCATAACTTCAGCCAGTGAAATGTGCACCAAGCATATAGAAATAAAACTCTTCAATAATTTAAAATGTTAGAAAGTAAACTATTCAAATTCAAAAGTGACATCACACAACAGAGATAAACAAAGAAACTTTTTTTGTGTTTTTCTTTTTCAGGAGGGAAGGGTTGACAGTTAGTAGCCACTGATTAGCTTGCCTGCTAGCACAGGAAACACAACAGCATTGCAAAGTGAGCACTATCAGCTGACAGAACAGCCCATTTATATGTAACTTTTCATCACATTTTTTTGTTTTGTTTTTTTTCTGTTTTTGCCCGACCAACAGATTTTGCCAAAATGAGCGGCATCTATTGAAGAAACACAGGTAAAAGACCAAGTAAGAGAAAAGTGAAAGCAGGGTTGACAGGAGTGATGCGTGGAATGGTCCAGCCTTCATACCGCAGTGTCATTTGAATCTATGTACAATACTATTGTGTGTAAAAGATGCATGCACGTCCACTGGAGGTGACCCTTCCAGAGGATTCTACACTAAGCCGTTACACATCTCTCATGTCAGAGCTATCTGTTGAGACCTCTCGGTGCCATCAACCTTCCATCGACCCAACCTCTGATATGAGGAGAACGATGTTACAGGAGGAATGAAATGCTTTGGAAATTGCCAACAACAAGTAATAAATTCACCTCTAATGATAATAGTTAAGACATGATTATACTGTAAATTCTACAATGGAATGAAAAACCATATCAACCCTGCTTTTCAGTGACAGAGAAAGGGAATGTGAGCATTTGAAAAGCGTGTATGTGTGTGTCTGTGAGCATTTATGTGTCTGAATGCGTGCCAAGAGAGGGCGAGAGAGAGCGACGCGAGGAGGTGGAGGCAAACGGCTGAAGATGGGCTCAGAGGCTCAGACGCACACCCTCTCCACCACTCTCACATTTTACCCATTTTGCTTTTAAAGCACTGTTTAGGCAGCCCCGGCCCTCTACTGAAAACCCCGTTGCCTCCAGTTTTGCATCCACCTCCTTTCCCAGCCTTGCCCTCTCTCAGAAGCCCCCCCTCTCTAGCTCACTGCTCATCCTCCCCAAACACATCGTTCTGTTTGCGTTTCATGTTTTCAAAGTCAAAGTCGCTCCCGGTCGTACGTTTGTAGATGTCCTTGATGTCATTGCAAGTGGTCTCGAAGTGAGTGGTGGCATCGTAGGACCTTGATGCGAAGATCTGAGGAAAGAGTTCAATAACAAGAGTTAGATTTTACAGCATTGCTAGCAGGTATGTGAGGCTGCAGTGCTCATTTCCAGCTTCACATTTTTATTCAAAAATATACAAAAGTAGCTTTGCATGATCCTTATTTATTGTCATACCAGGCCTCTGTGCACCTGCACAGTTTATCTGTTTGAAACAAGCAGATCTATCTCCCATCTCCTAACAAAGCTTTGTAAATGACTGAAAACAGAGGGTTTAAACACAACACAGCTCTGTGTCTAATATGAACATATTAGGGATATCCACTCATAGTGACATTATACAGAGGCAAGAGGGGAAAAAAACTCTGAATCTGATTGTTTAGAGCAGTCTGATGCTTGCAGCTAAAATTTCAAGCTGGCACCTAAACGCCTCACACGCACATACAAGCTGGCTTCAAAAGTGAGTCAATCCCCACAGCCTCCTATGCTAACATTTTAGAGCAGAAACAAATCTGGGCTTTATTTAAGGTCTTTTGGGCTATTTTAAAAACAATTAACTGTCAAATATCTTGCATTTAACTGTATTAAAAGCGCTGTGCATTTGGTGAGTGAATTCTACCATTCTGTATGGAACTTAGCACTAATTAGCAGGTGTCTGCATCTATTTTATGTACTCATACAGTTTATGGGTGCCTCTTGCTAACCAAACTTGTTAACTTGAAAGGAATGCAAACTCTCATCCATTTCTGGGTCCAAAGTAACCAAGCGGGCCAGCTGTTGCCCATAAAATTGAAGCTCCCAAAAAGGAGATCACGATACAAGTGACATCACTAGATCATCACTACAGCCATCTTCTATGCACATAAAATGATAATTACCTATCTAGTACAACATTTCTTTGCAACAAACTGGTCAACTGACCCTTCAACTCAGCCGTATTAGTTGTGGCAGCATATTAATTTGTTATATTGTAAAATACAATATTTTTTCTGGATGTTACCCTTGGAAAAAATGTCTCACCTGGCTCTCAGTACCATCATCTGTGGGCTCATAAAGGTCGCTAATAGCCACAAACCTGTGGGGAAAAAAATGTGATTTATCCCAGTTATATATACGCCCCCCCCCCCCCGATGTAACTATAAACATACAGGAATTTGAATAAGCAAGAAGTAAAATGTGGGACTCACTTTTGGTCGATGGGCTCCAGCAGCTCCAGAGCTGGCTCAATTTCATTCTCAGGTTCACTGGTTTCCACTGTGGTGCTGACAATAGCGATGTACTTCCCCTGGGCCGCCACGTTGTGAGCATAGGAGATCATGCACACATAGATGTCTAAAGAACAGACAAAGGAGTTAACAGGAAGAGATGGTTAAATCAAGAGTTAACTTCAAGCTGGATTAATTGACGTTTTTGTCCACTTGGAGGCAGCAGGAACGAGCTGTATACACACTGACACGTTATCGTCCCAGTTGAGTAAACAGTTGCCTGTTTATATAAGCATTCATCTGGAGTCATGTTTCTAGCCACCTGCTGTGTGTCTCATATCTCATTTCCTTTAGCTTTGCTTTTGTTTCCATAACTTTTTAACAAAAAAAAAATCTCAGGGTTGCTCCAGTTACAAGTTACTTTTTTAAATTGTCTTTCTTCTTCTTGTTGTCAAGCAAGTTGTCTATAGTGCTTATTTTCCTTCCTTCTTTTATTTTTTCCAACTTTACTGTTTAAATCAGGTGAGTAACAGTGATAGTAAATCAAAACAGTACAACTGAAACTATTAGCAGAAAGGTGCTAAAAGGCACCGTGGAGCTAAGGGCAACTGCAGAGCTCATCACTTCTAGTTTGTCACATTTAACATGGAGTCTAATGTTTATTGATTAGGGATGTTAAAAAATAATCTAAATTTAATCTGTAGGGGACTAAATCTGCACCATTTCTTTGAAGAATAAAAAGCAGAAATATTGAATATAGAAAATATTGCTCACCTGAGTTGCGATTAACCTGATTCTGAGGAATGATGATCTGACAGGAGTTGGCATCATTAGTGTTTTTGATGGGATGGCTGAGGATGCAGATCACACGGATCACCTGACCCGCTTTACGGACACGGTCTGGGATGTAACTAGGGTCGCAAATGAGCT